TCCATGGAACCTGGAAGCATGGGCCAGGGCCAGAATCGGGTCCCAGCAGACTTTCCCAGCAGTGCGTCAAGGTGGTTGGTGCGTTATTCTCTGGAGTACCTGTCCCCACTATTCCCGCAGGGCCAGTACATCTCGCCTACCTATCACGGTGCAACGCACCTGGGGGCCAGGACACCTCGCCAGGCGTACCAGGTTCCTTACCATTCCCGGACGTTCACTCAACCTGGCCGTTGATTGGTCACGTGAACCTGTATGTCGAGTCCGAGGCGGAAGGTGCAGCTTGCTTCCCGGCCAGGCAATCAATCTCTGGAAGAAAAGAGAAAAGAAGCGGAATACATAAAAGAGCATGTCCTTTACCTCCAGCCATTCTCATTCCCCCACATGATCCATCACCGTCAACCCAGCAAGAAAAGATTGTGTGCATTGCCAGCAAGCATCCCTTTTACTCTCTCGGATACTCAATACAAACGCTGGATATCCTACCTGAGGTACGTGCAGCGTGAATGCCAAGCCCTGGACACTAGGGCGGCTTGCAGCTGGATCCTGGATGCTGACCCTCGCTAAAAAGGTTAGCCGGAGAGCGGATTAACTGCCAACCTAGTTCAGACCGTGCGGATTGGAATTCTCTGACTCCAACCTCTCCGTGTTTCCTGCCGTTCCGTCACCAGATAACTTAGCTGCAGCCCTTCTGAGGAGAGCCATTCACCCAAAGAAGTACGGATATCATCGCCAACAAAAAGCTGTCGCACTGAACTCATCTTCATCTTCATTTCTCTGCCCCCCCATTTCTACTTTCTGACGCGTCCGCTACTCCCCCGGATCCGTCGACCACCGATTTCATTCCCCCACTTACCCTTCACAACCGCCAAGCTGGACTCCTCCGTCGTCATGTCGAATGCGCCTCCGCCTGCGCTCTTACCACCGCCCGAGGGCATCTTCCGGACCTTTGAAGACCTTTTAACATCGGTTCAGCGCGTCGCAAAAGACCAAGGATATGGAGTGGTCAAGCTGCGCGCCTCGAATTACCGCGATGGCAAACCTACCCGTTACGACTTGGTTTGCGACCGCGGCGGCGTCAAGTACAGCAGCACCGCTAAGAAGCGTAACCCATCGACGCGCAAGGTAGACTGCCCGTGGCGCGCAAAGGCCGTCTGCGAGGTCCAGCTCGGAAACCAGTGGCGTTTTGCTGTTCAGGAGGGCAGTCACAATCACGAGCCTCGCATCGCGACCGCCCCTCCCGGACAGGAAAACACCCCTCTCGCCCAATCGATCCGTTCTTTCACCAACAAGATTGATCGCCTCAATCACGACATGAACCAAGGCTTCGGTCGTATCGAACAAGCTCTTGACACGATGAACAAGCGCCTAGAGAATCTCGAGAATCGCGCGGGTGGTTACGAGCCTCGTTTCCAGAATATGGAGTCGCGGTTGCAAGGCATGGAGGCGCGTGGAAGCATGGAGCTGCCCATGGACGATGTCGATGCTCGACTCCTATCATCTTCGGTTATGTAGGAGAGTGACCCGGTTGACGAGTCGGGCTTCAAGGCTTCGGATTTATCCGAGGACTTCGTGTGGACGTCTAATGTCTGACCACGCCTCGGCATCACAAGAATCCTCGGTCACTAGCGTTCGCTCTGAAAATGCGCTGGATCGGAAAGAGGATCACGCGTCGACAAATGCACGATACTCACCTCTCGCAAAAAGTGGTTGTGGATAAGGAGACGAGCCAAGGCAGGTTTGGCGGGACAAATCATGTTATCACGGCGTTGGACGGGGACCAGGGCGTTTTCGGACACATTGAATTTCATGTTTTTTCCATGGTTCTAGTGCGAAGGAGCGGCATCGGTCGCAGGTTTGGGAGTAGGGCCCTGAGAGAGGGTACTTTTTCTCATGAAAACTGTGCGATATCACGGGAGGGCGGCTTTTTTGTTTTGCGGTTCAGACACGTTTGGCGGACAATGAGGTCCAAAACCTATAGTGAGCATTGCCCTTTTGGGTGTTTCATAGGATCATCGCATTTCAGCGTTACCTTGCACACACATGGCTCCAGTTGGAGTGTTATTCGGGATGGTAAAGCTCCATTTCGTGATCATCGCTCTTTCCTCATTGCATGCAGGACCACCTTCCTCTTAGGAGCAAACAATAGGCCGAAGGATGACGTAACAGGAGCACCTTGTCAGACGCTGCCCTTAAGTCAATACCTAGCGAGACTGACTTCATTTACATTTTTTGCCTCGACAATCGTATGTACGCTGTTTAGTCTTCTGCCAAGTTTCCTCCCAGAATCTCGAACCTGCATCTCGACGACTTATACGAGCTGCCTCGCCCTGGAATGGAGTCCAGTCCGCGGACACAGTATCAACTCCCACATCGGAATCCAACTTCGCACGTCCGCATTGCACACACTGTGAGGCCAGATCCCACACACACCCATGACAAGCTCCGGTTGGTTTCCTTTCTTGGTGCAAGCAAACAATGTTCCTAATCAAGACCTACGCGCCGGCCGGCAGAAAACGCCACCAGATGCGTTTTACAACCCTTGGCCCTCGAGGCAACACTGCGAAGTGACGGACCGCGGATCGCTCTCCGCCCACTATCAATCTCCGCTCCCCGCGCTCTTCGGCTTACTCTCAGATCCTGACGATTTCTAAGGAGAAGACCCCATGTCGTTGCTCGGGCCAAACTGCTCTGGCTGGTCCAACTTACATATCACGAGTCTCCGCCTTGGAGATGTGCTTCCTGTGGACGCAAAATGCTTCGACGCATTACATTGGCAAGCTAGGGATTGGCATGCCTGTTGGCTATCTTGGCTAACGTTCGTCCGAAAGTGCTACATGCAGATTTGTTCAGTACAGTGACCACAACCACCCACCTTTCTTTAATTGAGATCGATCGGGGCGCTTGCTGGCACATGCATCTCACATGCTACACAGCCTGACAACTTTGGCGATGCCGCCTTACTTGCCGTCAGATTGCATCCTGTCGCCAAGGTCCATGATCATTTCCTCCTAGGCTTCAGCAAAACTGGTCAAGACGCACAGTCCATCTATGGAATTTTACAACGATAGGATTCCCATTCCGGGGAACGGCCGCTAACGGGTCTATTTATTGTCTAAAGGTACGTGCTGACACGAGTACTTATGGATTACTACCCAATCCTTCCATGCCTGCTCCCTAGGCATAGTGCGTCCATAGCCTCGGGATGAGGGGGGAACGAGGTTGGGTCACACAAGGACAGTCACTGATCTCTAATTGCTTATTCGTAACGACTGACTGCAGCAACAATCGGGGCAGCTATCAGCACCACGGTTTAAGCATAGGCCGCATTCCCTTCTCGTCGACAGGGGCTATCTCGGACTCTGCAAGCTTGTCGAAAAAAAACTTGACAGGGCTGTAAATAAGAGATTTTCCGGCGAGCAGGGTCTTGCTGACGAAAGGGTGTTCTTGTTCCATCTTGAAAACGGGTTTGCAAGCCACTTGCCATTGTCCTCGAAAGCCAGCTGGGTTGGATCAGCCACAGACAGGCATAGGTAGGCCTTCAGTGGGCAGCACGTCGGTTGGCTGCGAATAACAGGATTCGACAACACGTCGATCCCCGCCCATTGTCGATAACAATGGCCGTAAGGCCGGCCAAAGAAATGCGGAGCTGCTGAAATCGCCAACGACTGGCGGAGCCAAATTGCATGGCAAGGCGACGTTCAATGCAGTCCTCCGTCCGCAACAAGGAGGAAACTCCGAAATCTTTTGGAATCGAGACTCGATGTAGGATGCCACCTTACGGAGCTTTAGATTTTCTTGCTCCACTATTACCTGCCGTGCACTTCGATACATCATCACGCGCACAGGCAGACATTTGCCTACCTGGCATACGGCCGAAGAAAAGAGGCTCTGCATCAAGGCTGTATCATTCAACTCTGGCCCTTGCTTTGCCAATGCAGTGGAGATCCGGAAACAATGGTACCCATGGATCGTGTACCCAGGATGCCCAGGAACCCACCACAACTAACGGTCTTCTCTCTTCTCTCCCTCACCCTCCTCTCCACCAACAGCAGCCAGCGGCGTGGCGGCCGTGGCCCTTCCCACCTTCGCATCTCGCATTCGGCTAGTACAATTGACAAACAAACATACGCAAAGCCCCTCCCAGTTTGATGGCAGGGATCAAGTCAAATGGACGAGAGCGGCTGGTCCAGGCTGATGAGATCGTGCTACCGAGGGCCAAGCAAGCATGGTTCATCACATTTACTGCGCCAGCAACAAATTACATCAAATATCCAAATCTTCATAATTAGGCGAATATGGCCGCCTCCGCGTAGTTCCCATTTTCCTTACGGAATTTTGCGGCTAGCTGCAAAGCTGTCAGAGTCTCTTTGATGTCCCAGAACGAGCGAGCCAACCGCCGAAACGGCGGCCCCTCCAATCATGCTCCGGTGGCTGGATGCACGCAGCTCAGGTGAGAGAGGGGAATCAAGAGCTTCGAGACAACATCACTCATGCAATCTACCTGCCGCAAATGATCCGAGTGCGGTGGTAGGAGTCAGGCCATCAGTCTTTGTTCACTCGTCCTCACAGGGCTGAACTTGACCCCGGGCAATGCACCCGAAGAGTATGATGCAGGGTAGTAGATAATTTTGGAGCTGACAAGTCTTGCACGGGACGCCATCGTGCCCTCATGCATTCGCCGTTGAGTTTAAGCCATGTTGTGGCCATGGCTCGCGACGTGTATGGATGTCGCCGTGCTTGCGGGTTGCGGTGAGGGACACACGTTGCCCCGAACAAACAATTGACTTCAATATCTCGATTCATGTGATATGTATACATTGCTCTATAGCCGCGCGTTTGTTGCTATGATTAGGTCATGTTCCAGCAAATGGGGACATCATGCCCCTATGCTCAAAAAAAATCAATTCCTCCGTTAACTCCAGTAATGCCACATGCCCCATGTCCTGCCCCTCTACTTCATGACTCTGGTCTGCCACCTCCCACTGCTAAGAAAGCTCAACTTATGCAGCTCCTGCCTTTACCAGGTGGGCGTACTCCAAGCCCTGGGGTTGGCTCCAGGTGCTGGGGTCCTCAGCCAGGGCCGCCATCTGCTGCTGCTGGAGGTTCGTGGCGCCGAGCTGCTTCTTGTTCATCTTCTCCTTCAACTCCTCGGTGATGGCGTCGACGTCGACCTTGAGGTACCCGCGGAGGAACTTGCCCACGTCCGTGTTCTCAACGTTGCCGCGGATCTTCTGGGCCTCGTCTCCGCCGGTGCTGTAGACGTTGACGTCAAGCGCCGTGTGGCCATGGGTGCTCCAGCCGACGTGGGCGCGAAGGCTGATCATGGCGGCGAAGGTCAGGACCGAGACCTCGGGGTGGTCGACGAGGGCCTGGAGCTCCTCCGGGTGGGCGTTGTCGATGCCGAGGCCGGGGACGACGAGCTCCTTGTTGACCCATTGCTTGAGCTCCTCCTTATTCAGGGTCTTGCCGCTAGTGGAGGCGACTTTTTGCAGGAACTTTTTGGAGAGAAGCTCGGCGGAGGCCGAGGCCTTTGCGAGGGCCTTGGGGTACCAGTTGTAGACGGGGAGGTGTCCGGGCTCCTCTGTTTATCACGTAGTTAGCTGGCTGCAGACATGCTTTTTGATGAGGACGAAAACAAGAATTGAAAACTTACGCAAAGCAGTAGCGAGGCCACCGGTCTCGTGATCGCTGGTGGCCACCAAGAGGGACTCGGTCTTGCTGTCCTTGACAAAGTCGGAGACGAGTTTGAAAGCCTTGTCGTACTCGAGGACCTCCCGGACCTGGGCGGCAGGGTCGTTGATGTGGCCGGCGTGGTCGATCCTGCTGCCCTCGATCATGAGGAAGAAGCCCTTGTCGCTGTTCTCCGTGGCCTTTTCGAGGGCGCGCAGTGCCGTAGCGGCCATCTCGCTCAGGCTCGGGTAGACGTCGCTCATGTTGCGGCGGTCGATCTCAAAGGGGATATCGTAGTGGGCGAAAAGACCGAGCTGGGGGAACGAGACCTTTTCGCCGCCCTCGAGGGCGTCAAAGCCCGCGCGGTCGCCAGCGTAGGTCCAGCCGAACTCGTCCTGGGCCTTCTTGACGACGTCGGTGTTGTCGAGTCTGCAGCTGCCGTCGGTGCCGTTGGGGAGGAAGTGGCAGCGGCCACCACCGAGCATGATGTCGACGACGCGGCCGAGGGGACCGTCGCCGACCTCCTGGAGGGCGATGTCGTCGTTCATGGCACGGGTGAGGACGTGGCTGGCGAAGCAGGCGGGTGTGGCGTCCGTGATGTCGGTGGTGACGACGAGGCCGGTCATGAAGCCGGCGCGCTTGGCGGCCTCGAGGACGGTGCCGCAGGGCTCGTAGTCGGGGAGGACGGAGATTGCGCCGTTGTAGCTCTTTTTCCCGCAGGAGAAGGCGGTGGCGCCGGCGGCGCTGTCGGTGACGAGGGAGTTTGAGGAGCGAGTGCGGGAGGAGCCCCAGAAGTGCCTGTCGAGGGTGAGGACGTCGTCTTCAGGGAGGCCCTCGACGTGCTGGCGGAAGCTGCGCGTCAGAGAGAGCGAGGCCGGGCCCATGCCGTCCGAGACCATGAAGATGAGGTTGCGCTTGCCCTCAGTGGGCCTGGGGAACTTTGTCGAGCTCCGGTGCTGGGTCCATACTGCGAGGACGATGAGCGCTGCCGTGGCGAGGAGGGCCCAGGCGAAGAGGACGATTTCGCGGAGGCGCGAAGGGCCTGGGGGCGTCCGGGAGGAGTCGTCGCTGTCGTCGCCTTCGCGGCGGTCGTTAATCAGGGGCGTCCGTTCGGAAGACTGCGTGTTTGCGGTATTAGCCATGATGTTTAACCCCCAGTTTGCGATTTAAGCTCCAAGGTGGTTGGTTTTGCGACCGCGGGGTGTCTTTTGTTTGATAGATGTGAGTTTGGGATAAAGTTCTGTTTTGTGCTTACCATCTTGGAAACGTCTCTACTGTGTAGGTCCTCTATTGCGTGGCAAACGCAAGCAGGGAAGGGATTTCGCGTCGCTTCAGTTCCTGTCGCAGGTGAAGCTGGGATGGTTTGGAAGCTGACTCTTGCCCAGGTTGATAAGGTCAGGTACCTGAGGTAAGTGACGGGGGGCTGGGATCCTTTTTCAAATGACGGAACCGAGCCAGGACAGGCAGCCCCTCCACTATCGCTTCCAAGTTCCGTGCCCTGCAGCACGATAACACCCCGTCGATAACCTTGACGACCTTGATGACCTTGGGGGATAGCTTCAGTGGTGTCTGACTCTCGTCCACTTTGGGAAATGGGTCACGGTCTCAATCTTTCGTTGCAGGGCTTCACCGTCTCCTACCAATCCTACCAATCCCGACGCGTTCATTTGGAGCTTTGGGGGACCGTTTGGAGTAACTTTGAGAGATGTGACTGGTTGGGTGGCTCCTCCCCCAGGGGACCCCACCATTCCGGGCATGTGCTGTGACATCACGCCCGCCTTGTCATCCCGTGGTCACAGGTGCCATCTCACCCACTGAACCTTAGATACTGGTAAGCCTGAGTCGGACAGACACATTGGATAACTTTTGCGAGTAAAGGGATTGGTCCCGCGATGCGGTCTGGGCTGAGCCTCACACAAGCCTTCCCTCCAAGGCCTTCCAAGGGATCTCGCCCGCGCTGTCAGCTGGACTGCTTGTCGTTGGCTTAGACTGGATCATGTGGGCGAGCATCTGCGGGGAAAGGTTAGGGGACACACACTCATATCACTTATACTCCCCCCCTCCTCATGCTCGGAATACCGAACGTGGTTAGGATCAACTAGCTGCCGTTGGTCATGGTTCACATCTCATTGGATCGTAAATCTCGGTGGACAGGCCGAAGGGCTTTTGTTTGATTCACATGGCATTTTCGTGGTTTGAACTTTTGGGCCCGATGGAACCTTGTTGCGGGTGTCTCCGATCATCTTTCTCACCTTGTCTCGAGGGCGGTAAGTGTCGTTTGGAGACATGAAGGCAGTATGCTGTTGTGTTTCGTATGCCTTCTTTCCACTGTACAGTATGGTTAAGCTCATTTCTGTTCTTCATTGAAATGACGCGATGATGTACGGAAGATGAAGCCGGAAGCCCTCTTCCAACCCAGGCTACTCTCCACGCTGAGGATGAGAATGACCTACCTGGCAGGCTTCTATTTGCGACATGTCATCTGCGGTGTGCCGCAAACCTTTTGTAAAGAATACGGTAACAAAGCTTAGTAAGTACGGAGTGCATCCGAATAAATATATTGAGGAGCCACCTGAGCTTAGTAGATTCTCTTACATCTTGAGTTCCTACGTTTCTTATGAGCTCACTCGCCCTCTTATCCTTCGACAATGGAGGTTGAATCTTTATTGGCGTTCCACCTACATCATAACAATTGCTAGATAGCGTTAAGGTGCACATATATATTTAGCACTTATGATGGGTGATAATGAATTACCTATTTACTTAACAGCAATTTCCTTATATCTGCCTATAAATAACTTCGAGATAGTACGTAAATTAGAGAAAGACTGGTTGCGGAGGTGCTGACGCCTTCTGGTAGTTGATGGGGTGTTACGTTGTGGTCAAGGTGGCATCGGCTACCATCACTATGTGTAGTTACCTTCTACCCGTTTCCAAGTGTTAGCACAATTTTATTCTTCTCTTTGATACCTCGTGCCATCGAATCTTCAAAGAGCTGTAATGTATGGGGAAACCAGCTGTTTGGCAGGGAAGTGCGCTCTTTGAGACTCCTTTCAGAGTGTCCGGGCCAGATGACACTCGGCCTATTTTCCACTTCAAAGCCTTCAGTCTAGATGACCTCGATAAGACGGCTGGTCGTACAGCGAAACGACTAGCAGAGGCCTAGAGGCACGGAGTGAACGACTATGGAACGTTCTCGTCATACAAGCGAAGCAAATATACGAGTCGGAGTTCAAGAACAGATCAGACGGTTCTTTGTCAAGCTTCTATATTACCGACGAGATCTTGGGACCTACTTTTCCGTGGCCCGGTCTTGCAACTTCTTACTATTCTACAACATAGCGGGTTCCTATACTGGTCATTATATGTACTATCGCTGAGTAGAAGTTGACCCGGAAATAGAGAAGCAAGCCATTTTCTGATCAATTCACAGCAATTCGAGTATTCCTGTTAGGTCTGACAAAGGAGATTCTGATCTCGTCTACCTCACCATTCACTTCTCTGTGTTGAGGTATACTTTGACATATCGTCACCGATTCACTTCGCACGAGGCCCCATGATTTAAATACATAAAAGGACGTTCAGCCCGACCATGTGGAAGAAAATTCGCAAAGCATATTGCACAAAGCATTCTATCATTGCCCAAAGACACTACCTACCCCTTTCACGCAACCATGAACGCAAGTTCCAACACTCCAGCGATGACAGCAACGACTGCTCAGCCAGTCCTTCACACTGGCATCTGGGACATCATCCTCGAGCAGCTTGCTGTGAGAGGAGACCATGGTACTCTGGCGAATTGCACTTGTCTCAACAAGGAATTGTCTGAGTTAGCGTCTCGACACCTCTACAGGTAAGCAAAGACCCCTATAATAAATGATGCCTATCCTCCCCATCAAAGAATTGTCCACTAACCAGGCACCAGTGCGCAATTCTGCCCTCCTAGATATTGGGGCGGAGAGGCTACAGGAAGCCTTTGGGCGAATCTGTCTGCCGACATGTTGGTGTGCGAGGAGCATCCAGACGCGAACGAAGCCTTCCCTGCTACCTACCACCCGTACCTGCTTTATATACGCCATCTGAACCTTCTCAACTTTCTCTCAGTCCACGGGTGCAGACCTTTCCCCGACCAGCGGTTCGTTGCTGTGAACCGTGAAGCTGCCCAGCAGAACCCCGGCTCCACGACTGATCAAAGCATTGTCGCGGCGAACCATGTCACTGCCGAAACCCCGAGCATCGGATGCTTTGGAGATCGCCTCCTCCGCAAGCTGGCTCAAATGTCCACAGAAAAAGGCTTAAACATCATGCTTAAGAGCTTGACGGCAGACTGGTGGATGAATGTCCAGCCAGTCATTCATACCTTTAGGAAGCTGGAAAGTCTCTCCCTCGTCTTTCTCGATGACTTGGACAAATCTGCAGCCGCATTGATCACGACGCATCTGCCAATATTGACGAAGATATCAGTGGTACAGGCTGATGACTCTGAAATTGCTTCCTTTGCAGATTTCATTTCGGAGCTGCCGCCGACTCAGTTGCGTTCGTTCGACTGCTCCCTCAATCAGACGCAGATGCCCCTTTTGGAAGCAATTGCGCAGCAAACTTGTCTACAGGAACTAACTTTGCAATTCGTAGTTCGCCCTCCTTTCGAGTTGTATCGACTCTTTGAGCTGACAAACTTGACATCACTGACCCTCAGCTTCAACTACCAGCCCTCGCCTCAAAACCGTTTGAGATTCAAAAGATGGGCAGAAGAGAACCGCAGCAAGGTTACAGACTGGCTCAAATTTTGCCAGGCTCTTCGCAGTCTCCATCTCTTCCGCTTTCCAGACCTCATTCCCGCTGTTGCTGATGCTCTTCCCTACTTACGTTTACGCAGATTACACATTTTTTCGACGGGATGCTACGAAGACTTCTATGAAGCACTCGAGACGCAGCAGCTCGAGTATCTCTTCTTAGCCGAGTGCTCTGAAGAAGGCCTCGTCAACCCTACTTCGAGGTCGAAAGAACGAGGCGAGCTCGTCATGAAAGCAGTGACAGCCATGCCGTGTCTTCGGGATCTGCGGCTGCATACATATTCCACTATGGACTGCAGTGCGCTTGATAATATTGCCAAACACGTACCGAAGCTCCAAACGCTATCCTTTGTCTGCCGAAAAGGCGAGAATTCGACCTGGACGCTCCGCGCTCTCGAAAGCTTCAAGCACCTCACCAGCTTGACAGTACTAGGCCACACCAAGTTCTCGTCGCGCGAGATACTCTACTGGGTCAGCTACATGCATTGCCATCAGCGCCCTGGCGGCTTCAGGCTGAGTCTCCCTGCACAAGATCCGCGGTCTTGGTACCGAGGAATGAGAGCCCCAGCCCAGATAGTGCCTTCCACTAACGACCCGGCGACGGCAACTCTGAAGCAGGTGTTAAAGTGGCTGGCCGTATTTGGAAGGGAACGCCACTGGCGGGGCAATGACTACGAGGCTGAAGAGGAGCGCATGTTTGTACAGCTTTGGGGCGATGCCAGGGGCCCGGCTGAGGGGCTGCAGCTTCTTAGAGGCTCAGGGCCGTACGCGCCGTGGTCAGGCTTGATGCATAGCACGGGTCTGCCTATTGCTTGGAGGAGCTTTCTCTAAGTCATAGCCGGAGAAGTAATTCTGATAGCTGGAGTAAGTTGGTAGATGAATAAATCATGAGTTTATAGTAAATCGAGATGAAATATGAGGTGAGGTTGAGTCAAGGCGCAGGAGCTTTGAGGTGTTGCACCGCACCTGCTTCGTCCGAATTTCTGGGGGAAGTTACGTTCTTGGAGCCGCCCCGCAGTACCTGAGTACCCCACGACCACTTTACGCGCCGTGACGCGCTTCGCCTATGACGACCGCCCCTTTCACATTGAAGCAAACCTAACGCAGTGAACTAACATCGAACTTCCTGACATCTGTGACTAAGCTTCAATGATATTATAACTTCAATCCAGACTTCTGCGGTGACACGATGGCTATCCTCAACTTCACGCTCAGCGAGGACGCTGTCGCTGCCTTCCGCGACGTACTCGCCTGCCTGAACAAGTTCAGTGACGAGGTCTCCCTAGAAGCCAAGAAGGACAAGGTCAGTCACTTATTGTCCAAGCACTGCAAACGACAAACATGCATATTGACCGAATTGCATGTAGTTGGTCCTCACAGCACTCAATGCATCTAAGTCGGCATACTCCTGCTTCACATTCACCACCAATCGCTTCTGCTCCCGCTACCAGTTCGAGGGAAGTGCGCAGTACCGGGACAAGTTCTACTGCACGCTGTATACCAGGGTATGATTCTCACTGGAATTTTGACATATATATTGCCAGAGCCTCATTGTTCTACAGTCACTCGCCTCCATCTTCCGAAGTCGTGCAGGTGGCGATCCTCAGCGTGATCGCGAGAAAGAGAGCACGATTGATCGTTGTGATGTCGCTATTGAAGATGGACCAGGTGTCAAGAGTCGCTTCATCGTGAAGCTAGTTTTCCGGAATGGTATGCTTATCAACCTGGATCAGTACGACATAGAAGTAACTGACCAGTGATTCAGGTGTCACATCTACACATCGACTGCCGTTCGAGGTTGCGGTGCCAGTGCACGCCAAATTCGACCGAGATGAAGCGATCCATCATTGGACCATCCCCTCGCGGACTTTGAGGCAACTGATGGAACATTTTGGTCCTGGAGTCGAGCTTCTGGATATTAACTCAGATGGCGAACATGTTAACTTCACATGCTACACAGAGAAGACGACAAATGGAGACGGTTGGCTCCGATACTCCTTGGATGTGTCTATGTATACTAACATCAGATGCAGAGGTTCTCAAGAAACCACTACACACATCAATCGCCATTGAGGTCGACGAATTCGAAGACATAGAAGTCGAGGATAAGCTCCGCATCGTTATCAGCGTCAAGGACTTCCGCGCCATTATCCAGCACGCTGGCATCACCGGCAACCACATCTCCGCTCGATACTCTAATCCGGCGCGTCCGATACTGTTCACTTATCCCGGCGACGGCATGAGTTGCGAGTTTCTGCTCATGACGGTCGGCGAGAAGGGTAACCCGGCCCAGAAGACGAAGAAAGGTAAGGCGAAGGGCGCCCAGGCGGCTCCGCAGCAACAGCTCGAAGCCGCGTCTAGAAGACAGAGTGCCGCGCCGTCTGAGACCCCGCAGCCCCAGGAGCAACCACCCGCGCAGAGTATGCCGCCTCCAGCGCTGTCGGCATCTGTATCACGGAGTGGAGTCGCCGCGCGCACTTCACTGTTCGATTTGCGGCCATCACAGCGACCGCCTCCCGCAACCATGGCTTCTCAAAGCCTGTTTGTGGACGACCAAGACGAACAGGCGTGGGAGCCCGTCAGGTACGAAGAGGACGATGATCCAGACTTGGATGCAAGACTTGGGTGGGATCATAGTAATCAGCCCGTAAGTCTCTCTGGCCAGATCGATCTACCTAGGACCATGATCTTAACCCACATGTCTCTTCAGACCGCTTCTTCCATGCACCTTGACCGCAAAGTCGCTGAAGAGAATACCGAATTCGACCCGACTCCAGCCAGTAGCGCAGGATTGGAGCCCACACAGCGCCTTGATGATGTCAAGCGCCTGGGCTTATTCTACCAAGGCCCATGATCTATTTGAATGGATGGCAGTGTGATGGTGTTGCTGCCGTGCCGACTTCGAATAGCCCTCAGCCGGCAGAACCATGTCTGCACCATTTGTCAACCGGTGATGATAGTCACCCAGCTAGTCGCGCAGCCCGCGCCGATACCCGCAATTTTAGAACCAGGAGGAATAAATCTTGACGACGCAATGACATTCCACCGTCCCTTGACATCGTTGTTCTCAACTTGCGGCCCGCAGTTGCCGTGCTCTCCCCATCCCCAAGCGAGCACATCGCCCGTCTCTGTGAAAGCAATGACATGTTCGCTCCCAATGGCAATCTTTGATAACTTGGGTAGGCTCGGCGGCGGGAGCTGTCCGTGGTCGTCTCTTCCCCACGCCATGAGCTCGCCGTCCTTCTTCAGAACATAAACATTGCCCCAGCTTGCACCGACATCTGTCCACTCTGGTACGGAACTGGGCGCAGAGGACTTGATGTTCCATTTATCAGAACCCAGAACGAGCAGCTTTCCTGAATCTGAGGCTCCAAACAGACAAGTAAAGTCCTTTCCGCAGACGGCTCTTTCAACCTCGAAGTCGACGCCCTCGATCTTTCTCGGCGAGTAGACGACCGCCTCTGGGGATCCGCCTTGGCCCTTGCGCACATTGCCCCAGGCGTACGCGTCGCCGTTGCTCAGGATCACCACGGCATGACCCATACACGCCGCCAGGTCTACGATCTCGGTCCCGGCCGGCGGGAATTCCTTGAAGAGGGTGGCGGACGGGGAACGAACGAGGAGCTCTCCGAGGCCCAGCTCGCCCTTTTGTCCAGCGCCGAAGCTGTAGATCTTGGTCTTCTTCCCCTCGGCGTCTTGTTGGACGACGAAGGAGGCTTCCCAGGTTGCGGCGATCAGGGCTGGTGTGGCCGGGGCGGCGTTTGCTTCATCCTTGCTGAGCTGGACTTGTTGGAACACTGGCTCGTCGGTCTCTGCTGCTGAGGTGAGGCCGCATGCGCCGCTGGTCGCGTCTCCGCTCCACCAAAGTCGTCCAGATTTTGTGAGGAGAAGGGTGTGGTTCCCGCCTGCTGCGATCTTGACTACTGGCGATTCGGTGTCCTCTGGGAAGAAGATGGCTTGCTTGGGGACGGAGACGTCTTCTTTGTGGCCGATGCCGAGCTGGCCTGATCCGTTGGAGCCAACGGCGAAGAGGACAGACATCTTGTAAAAATGTTTCGCCTTGATATGATACTGTTGGTTTGCCAGATGAGGGAGCTTTCTCTCGACGAGGAGAGCTTCCTGAGCTTGGTAAGGTAGCCAGTAGCTTCTGCGGACCCCCGCGAAATATCGCAGTAAGCAGATTCGTCCCCCACCAGTTTCTCGCATGCATTTAAGCAGTTCCATGGAGGGGCCTTTCGGCCAATCTTTCCCGCGTCTCCGCCAATGGATCCGCGCTGCAAAGATCAAAAAGCGGAACTTGAGCCGCCAACTTTTTTTTCTTCTCATCATTCGCATCACAACACTCTCGCAGGACGGTGCTTGCAGACAGCGTCACGATTCGATTCTCGATTCTGCGCCAGAGTTGTTCGTCGCTTGTGAGGATGTGAGAGGTTTTCTCTTGGAGTAGAACCTTTTGCAGCCCTCTCCAACAGAGGCTTAATTTCCACCTGCGCAACGAAAATCTTCTAACCTGATAGGAAAAGCGTGCTCCGCACACGGCACGATGGCATCTTCTTCGGCTCTCCCTTCACCTCAGGCCGCCGCCGGCATCCCCGCTGGAATGGAAAATTTCGTGGTTGGCCTGATTGGTATGGGAGACATGGGGAAGATGTACGCGCAGAGGCTTTCTGCCGCTGGATGGAAGTGAGTAATTATTCATTCCCTGGCTGGGCCTCTGCGCTATTCGATTCTTCTGGTAAGCTTCCTCTCCCGTTCTGTTCACATCCTCCTTCAACACCACCACATCTCCCCATTGGTCATGATGACAAGAGCGCATTTGGCTAGAGTATCGCCCAAGGCATTCTCAGGTAACCATTCTGGCCCTGGGTACCGCTGAGGGCCTTCCATGATGATACACCTAGCTACCTTAAACTTTACCTGTCTGAACCTTCACAATCATTCTGTTCTTTTTCTATGACTCGCATCTTGGAGAACCGCGAAGCTAACAAGCTTTTCAGGAATCTGCAATAGCTTTATGCCCTATCTTTGCTATACCACCCGCTCAGCTTATACTGTGTCGGAGAGAAAAGAGGAGGATCTGCAAGAACGGGGAAGATGGCTGACGTCCCGGGTGTCGGCAGGATCATGGCTTGTGACCAGGAAGAAAAGTACGAGAGCCTGAAAGAAGAGTTCTCTGGAAATGTATGGGAATGCCACCAGACCTGCCTTGCCGCACGCTTTCTAGCATGGGAACCCCTAGGTGTTCAACCCCGGCTGAGCAGTTTCTTGATAGAACAATGTCCAAATTTGCCGAAATGGCCACTACGTCTCCCGCGCCAGCGACTACATCATCTACAGCGTTGAAGCTGCCGCCATTGACCGCGTGATCGCCCAGTATGGACCTTGTATGACCTTTCCCCCGTTGCCACTGTCATCTCTGCCCATGCTTCCCAGCCCATTCTCAACCCACGAGAGGCTCATCATAGTCTAACATGATCCTCCAGCAACCAAGCTCGGCGCCATCGTCGGCGGCCAAACCTCCTGTAAGGCCCCTGAGATCACAGCTTTTGAGCGTCACCTCCCCACCGACGTCGAGATCGTCTCCTGCCACTCCCTCCACGGCCCCAACGTCGACCCGCGCAACCAACCCCTCGTCATCATCGGCCACCGCGCGTCCGCCGTCGCCGTCGCGAGAGTCGAGACCGTCCTTTCCGTCCTCGGCTCCAAGCACGTCCACCTCACGGCCCTCGAGCACGACCGCATCACCGCCGACACCCAGGCCGTCACCCACGCCGCCTTCCTCTCCATGGGCAAAGCCTGGCACGCAAACACCCAGTTCCCCTGGGAGATGTCGCGCTACGTCGGCGGCGTGGAGAATGTGAAAATCAACATTATGCTGCGCATCTACTCCCAAAAGTGGCACGTCTACGCCGGCCTCGCGATCCTCAACCCCGAGGCCCGCAAGCAAATCTCCCAATTCGCCCGCTCCGTCACGGACCTGTACAAGCTCATGCTCGAAGGCAACGCCGTCGCCCTCCGCGCCCGCGTCCTCGCCGCAAAGGAAAAGGTGTTTGGCCACGACGGCAGCCCCAAGTGGGCTGACCGGCCCCTGCTGAACCCGGACCTCCTCGAGCGCTTCTCCCTCGGGAAAAAGGAGGACCAGACGGAGCCGCAGCGCGCAAACAACCACCTCAGCCTGCTGGCCATGGTGGACTGCTGGGCGCAGCTCGGCATCGTTCCCTACGACCACATGATTTGCTCGACACCGCTGTTCCGGCTGTGGCTCGGCGTTGCGGAGCACCTATTCCGCAGCCGCGAGCTGCTCGACGACGCGCTGCGGACGGCGGTGGAGGACCACACGTACCGCTCCGACGATCTCGAGTTCACGTTCGCGGCGAGGGGGTGGGCCGAGTGCGTTTCGCTGGGTCACTTTGAGACGTGGAAGAACCGATTCGAGACGACGCAGCAGTTCTTCCAGCCTCGGTTTAAGGATGCCGTGGCTGTGGGTAATGCCATGATGAAGGCTGTACTGGAGAGCACCAAGAATTGATGAGACTCGTTTTGCGTGTGATGGGAATGGGGATAGAGCTCATGAAATGTAGTTATGATGGGTGATTTTCATTGATTAACAGAGCCTTGGCAAGCTTCGCTTGTCGTACACTTGTCTACTGCCCACCTCTCTATTGGGGTATATGCCGTACCAGAAAGCAATATCGGCAATTCCTGTTCGCAACCGGGGAATCCTTTTGTGCAATCCAACGCCTGAGCAACCAACACCGCTACTCTTCTTGCCATGTCGACTTCTCAAACCTGAGTGATCAAATCCGGCTGATGCATCTCCACGCTTTCTTCCAAGACGGCCACACCGTTCAGGACAGTGAGAGGCTGTGCGAGGAAATTTCCCTGTTCTTCCTCCTGTGCCTCCATCTCCGTGGCGTCGTCGCCAAGATGGCTACTTACACCGGCCGGAAGACTTGTAGTGGTTGAAGTCGTTGTGTCCAGCCACGAAGCGTCGTCTTCATTTGGTTCGGAAGGCTTCTCGACTTGGGCGGCGAGGTTCGGGGTCCCTGGGGATCGAGGTAGATTGGCGTGTGGGACAAGAAGAGTGTAAGGGGTCACTGGTCGCGGTTCGAGTGACGAAGGGCCGTTGATATTGAGCTGCGCTGCCAAGTGGCTCGCTAGCTGCGCATCGCTGATGTATCTGCCGGTATCTGAAGATGATACAGAGGATCCGGTCAAGGCCTGAAAAGAATGTCAGAAATTGTCCATAAAACGGTTGAACGGTGGTCCTCGCCGGCAGCAAGGAAAATTCACTCACCCCTGAAGATGATCGAAGACCAATGTTGGCAAGCAACTGAGAATTACACACAGGTCTTTCGCGAAAGAGGTGGAAGCCGTAGCCGGTGGCTGCGGTGGCAGGAATGTTGCCCTTAGCGATACCATCCAGACTGATAAACGCTCGGTCTGCTCCGCCGGGGCGACAGTACGAGCAGATCTTGTACTGACACTCATCTTTGGACTTGGGTACCCAAGGAGCGGACATGCTGGTCTCTAGAATGTCGTCCAGGTCGTAGGTGCTGGACGACTGTGTGCCATCGTGACCTTGATTAGGTGCCGGCTTCGCTCGGAAAGATTCTCGACGAAGGACGTCTCCAAGCTAGATGGTAATAAACGCATCAGCAAATGCATAAGGCATTTTGTGTTGGATTAACGTACGTGCTTCCGTTGATTGAAGATAGTCATAAGTTGATCAGTCGTGTAGGTGGTCGTGATATCCCTCGGGGGCATCTCCTCGAGAAAGCTGGCAGCATTCCCTGATCGTTTCTCCGGACCGCGGTTCCTTGGCTGAACGGCAGTAATCAGATGCCTACCGATATCGTCAAAAGTGACCTGGAGTGTCAGTACTATGTTTGTATCGTGATGCTGCATGAGCTAACCTCTTCGCCATTGGAGATACAATTGCGCAAGATTTCCTCCTGGTCCTGGCTACACCGGTACAGCCATCCGAAGTGCCCGTAATTACCGCATGAATCGCATCTGAGGATGTAGCTGTACACTCGAACCATTGTGACGTGTGTGCAAGCGCCGTAGGAACGCGCCAGGCGGTGTGTCGGCTGGGGTGCCATATTGATAGCGGACAGCCCAAGTTGCGGCACACAATTCTCGAGGAGATAGCCGCCCGATGATGGGGATGGGTGTTTAGATGATACTCCTAGGTGCGGTGGTCATGGAGCAAGGTGTAGTAGTAGGTGACTTTTGCTCAGTACTGTATGTTGAGGAACTTGGAGGAGGGAGCCCATATTGGTGATTGCACTTGAGAGGAAGGTACAGCTGTTGCTCATGGTGGGAAGGAGCGCCCGACTCACTCACCTACCTTTCATCTCGACCTCCACCATGAGATGCATGAGATGAAAGAAGAGCCAATTAAAATGTAATCCTGAGTGTTCGACGAGGTATACACAAGGTAAGGCAGACGCTTCACTTCAAGTTCTACTGCTTCATTATCAAAAGTGCCTAAGGTCGTGTTCAGAGAATTGTGTTTCTGAGGCCCTGAATTTTATAAAGCCTATGCCTATCTTAAGATGTGAGACGATCGTGTTGTCTTGCCTTATGACATACTCCTTTACATTGTGGTTCGGTTGTTCAATGAGCTTTGTCAAAGCTGTTCTTTAATAAGATATAACATGTTTAGTTGTCCCGTGTCTTGGATGACAAAGACATCAAATTGAAGAACGGTCACTAAGCGACACATATTTTCGTTTCGAATGATTCTATTTTCTGTTTGACGCCTCTCACAACTAGCAAGATGGAAACGTCAAGACCAAGTTTGAAATCAACGGCGTCATGAACTCAACGCCCACATTCTGGCACGTGGTTGAGGATGAAGGTCGGACACACACGTCGACTAAATGAGTACGCGGTGACTAGACCTATGATTGAAATAATCGATCTGCATTCTCACTGTACTTTTTTGACATTGGATGCGTTAGTGCGTACTTATGCCGATTCCATGTCGATCATGAGCACAAGTGAGCAAGAACCGTTTCTGGCTGTACAGGATTCAGTCGACAGTCATGAAACGGCCCCTACTTCTTTATACGCAAGGTCCGTCTTGAATTGAGGTAAGCAGGGCCTAGGAGGTAAAGCGTGGTTGAGTAGATAGATACAGCTTGACATGGCTCATCTGATAATCCCGGCACAGACCGAGGATGTTTGACGAAACCTAGTTGCCGGATGCTGTAAACACACTATATCCAGACTCTGAGATGCAAAGCCTGGCATCGGGATCAGAAGAAAAGTCGTTTGGATGATCTTCGGACGACCCGGGAGGGCAGAGCATGAAGCTTCGTCATTTAACTAGCTGAAGTGAGGGGACGACTGGACGGGGTCAACCCGGCATTGCGGTAAGATGGTCGGCAGGTGCAGACAGACAAACAGAGTTGGACTTCCTCCCACTCGATTGGGATAAGGTAATAGCGTAAAGTGCGTGAGTGCATGAGAGGGGATGAGCTGGCGTGCGACGTGCATCTGTCTATTCGGTGCCGCCCGTCATTCTCTGGGCCGCTGCCGCCCCTCCTCTCAGAACTCATGGACCAAGGTGAAAAAAAAAACAGACCTCGGGCCATTGGTAGAGAGCAGCCAATGGGACACTCTTCTTGAATACACCCCTGCAGCTCCGTCCAGCTCTAGCCCGTCATGCAACATCCCGGTTGTGTTGCTCGGAGGAGGACGAATGAGCATTTCGCAGCAGCGAAGCTCTGGTCCAGCGTCGGCACCACCCCCATCAATTCAGTCAATTTCCCCCCCAGCCCGAGGCCTGTCTTGTCGTGCTTGTCTGCCTCTAGTGGAAGTCTGCCGTGCCCAGGTCGTATCCGTACGCCCCCAAGGCCCCAGCTGTGTCAACCTCCTCGACTACTCGACCACACATGAACAACCCACTCCGTCGTTCCCTCTCTCTCTATCGCTGCCGCCCAACCTCCCCTCCTAACGACGGCTCAGACGCTCTCTTCACGTCCTGCGATCTCGAAGTAAAGTTGGTATGTTGCCCTGATTTCTTCACCTCTTCTCGTCTCGTTCGTGTCAATTGTGAATTGAGGGTCTCCAGCGAGCCAAGCTCCAGTCGCGCGCTATCAACCAATCGCACCTGGGTCGGTCGGCAGAGCGACGCGGTAAACAAATCATTGGCCCCCAGCGCTGCCACTCCCTCCCACTCTGGAGCCGCAATTCCAATTGACGAACACCCCCCGGAAAACCCATCGCAAACACCCTCAAAGACGGGCCTCCCAAGCTGATACTCCTCCCTTCACCGCAGTTTCCCCCGCGATTTTCTCGATTACGTTAGCGATACCCCGGAAACTTTAGCCCACCATGTCGGTCAAGTTCGAGAAGGACACGATAAAGAAGGGTGTCGAGGAGGTCAAGAAGGGCCTCATCGGTGAACCTCTGCCCGGTACCAGCGGCAAGCACCCCATCTCCGAGGCCATCGGCACCGCCATCACCGGCGGCAAGAAAAATGCGGGATCCAAGGGCTATCTTGCGGTTCGTCCTCCAATACCTCCACTCCGTTCCGTCATGTGTGGGCGATACGATAGAATCGCTCGCTGCACCATGGTCGGGAGTATGGATATGCCAGGCCGAAATGCTGACGCTGTGCAACCCAGGCCTACATCAAGCAGCTCGAGCAGAACCCTCTGCGCACCAAGATGCTCACTGCTGGAACTCTCGCCGGTGCTCAGGAGCTGATCGCATCTTTCCTCGCCAAGGACCGCAACAAGCATGGCAACTACTTCACCTCGCGTGTACCTAAGATGGCCGCCTACGGCGCCCTCGTCAGCGCGCCCCTCGGCCACTTCCTCATCTGGGCCCTGCAGAAGACCTTTGCTGGCCGCACCAGCTTGCGCGCCAAGATCCTGCAGATTATCGTCAGCAACTTGATTGTGAGTGGCATGACTTAGCGAGAGCCGTCTATAATGTGCGTGCTGACCCATCATCTGCAGATTGCGCCCATTCAAAATTCCATCTACCTTACCGCGATGGCCCTCATTGCCGGTGCCAAGACCTACCACCAGGTCCGCGCGACCGTCAAGGTTGGCTTCTGGAAGGTCATGAAGGTCAGCTGGGTCACTTCCCCGCTGTGCTTGGCCTTCGCCCAGAAGTTCCTCCCTGATCAACTCTGGGTGCCCTTCTTCAACCTGGTGTCCTTCATCATCGGCACCTACATCAACACCATCACCAAGAAGAAGCGTCTTGCTGCCCTGCGCAAGAAGCACTTCGGTGACGGCCGCTCCCCCTCCATGGGAGGTCGCCCTGAAGACTACCCCGGCCCCAAGGACTACCCTGGCCCGATGGGAGGTCCTAACCCCCCTTACTAAACGACTCTTCTATGGTGAGATGGTTGAGAGATGACAGCAAAATAACGCCCAGTTGATGAGAAATCTGGTAACATCTAATACGAAAACGATATCAGTCCTTTGGGGCGGATCTCTGGAGTTGAGGGGCGTGGAGGCAGTGTGAAGATACGCGAGCTGGGAGCAAGCGGCTTGGATAGACCGCAAACGACCGCCGAATATCCCTGTACAATTTGCTTGCTTCAAATGTTGCTATCATGTTATATGTCCCATGTGTCGGTAGATAGGTTCAAATGCGCTTGGATTTTTTAAGTTCAGTATGCTTGGTATTTCTGTCCGAGGCCCATCTTCCCAGGTCTATCTTTATGCTGCATGATACGAGTTGACCCTGTATCACACGTTCTAGTGATGGATTGCCTCACTTTGTAATGGTCTCTGAATATGATTGCCCATGGCTGACTTGCGTATTCGAGACGTATACTTGCTCGGGAGCAACCTGAGATACCCTTCATCCGATACCTCGACGCCACAACAGAAGCCCTTATAGGCCCCGCCAATTCCGTTCCTGTCACCAGCCAGGAGGCGCCCGTCTAGGTCGACGGGTCAGGTCAAACTGGCTGGGTGGTGGAGTGGTTTAAGGTCAACTTTCAATTATACGCCAACCAGCCTACTCGACGACAGGCTTAGCGAGTACCCGAGTTCGAATCCCAGCATGAGCACCAAGAGATGTAGCCACACCGGTGGTGAACTCTTTTTTTTTCTTTTTCCCTTTCTACCTCCATAGGTAGTGGGCACGGCCTGCGTTGCTCATACTGGAGTGAATCGTTTTCCTGTAGGTGTCTGTGTTCCTTTACCGAGGGATCGCCTTCATCACTCCCCTGCCGTCGCCTCGCCGGTGTCGACCATGAAGCCAGGACTCCAGTACTCCCATTCGGGACACTGCTTGTCCACCCACAACATACCCTCGCTAAGAAGATCCTCCAAGGCAGTCTGGGCTCGTGCCCTCGGCCATCGAAGATTAACCATTAGCATCGAGATGCTCACGTATCCCAGCACCTGCACGGCCTCCAACACCGCGCTCTGGTCCGTATTGAGCTCCTTGGGTACACTCCGAATGTACGACTTGCTCCCGACCTTGATGACGCTATGCGAGCTACCCAGCGGCTTCAAGGTACCGACGGCTCTCAGCACGTCGTCCTCCGTCACCTCGCTCGCGCCCTCCATGCGTCCCTTCATGATGCGCTCCCGAACCTCACGGACGCCAATCAACCCGCCGTTCTCGTCGCGCGTCGCGCTGCAAACCTCCACCACGCGCACCGCCAGCTCAAAGTAGAAGTCGTTGACTGACCGACCGAGCAGCTGCGCCCATATTGACGACGACCCACCCCCGCCCGAGGACGATGAAGAGGACGCGAGCGGGTCGACGCCGATGGCGGAACACATGCGGGCGAACTGGGCGCGGAAGGACGGATTTGAGCGGATATCTTTTGCGTGGGTCTGCGCGAACTGTTGGAGGAGGGAGCGAAAGACGGAGAGCTGGGTTTCGAGGGCTTGGGAGTTGCTGGTGCGGAGGTTGGAGCCGTGGGATGCGTACTGCGCCGATGTGATGCGGGAGCGGTCGAAGGCCGCAAGGCCGACGCCCTTGCGCGACATCCTTTTGTAGTGTTCGTCTGTCGGATTGTAGTGTGCAGGATGTTCGTATGTGTAGGAGGGTGGTGGAGGATGACGTTTCGGCCGGGGATATGTCACTGTAGTCGCGGAAGAAGGTGGAGGTTGCG